TGAGGTGGTCAGTCCCTCAGTCTGGAGAAGAGCATTGTTCTACTAGTGACCTGTCTCACCTCCTGGCACTATATAAATCTCCATCCTGTCACTTCAACTCCATATTGTTTCAAACTTTGGAACAATGCTCTTCTCCAGACTGAGGGACTGACCACCTCAAAACTTTAAGGGTGATGGACTGATTACATCGTCTTCAAGTCTCTTCTGCTTCTATCAACTTTTCTGTACTCGACTGAAGAAGCCTACTGTGTAGGCGAAACGTTTCGAAATAAAGATACCTAACTGTTGCACATGTGTCTTACCTAACAATCTGTTGGTATTTTATACCATTTTAATGTTCAATCTGTCAGACACTGCAACACAAGGGTATCTTGGTACAGACCTGGAATCAACTTCGACTACCTCTACAAGTGAGAGCGGCTGGATTTGAGAGGGACCTGACATCCCAACATCTGCGTTCTACTAGTGACCTGTCTCACCTCCTGGCACTATATAAATCTCCATCCTGTCACTTCAACTCCATATTGTTTCAAACTTTGGAACAATGCTCTTCTCCAGACTGAGGGACTGACCACCTCAAAACTTTAAGGGTGATGGACTGATTACATCGTCTTCAAGTCTCTTCTGCTTCTATCAACTTTTCTGTACTCGACTGAAGAAGCCTACTGTGTAGGCGAAACGTTTCGAAATAAAGATACCTAACTGTTGCACATGTGTCTTACCTAACAATCTGTCGGTATTTTATACCATTTTAATGTTCATACATGATTATATACACCTGGAAAATCCTAGAGGGACTAGTACCGAACTTGCACACGAAAATCACTCACAACGAAAGCAAAAGACTCGGCAGATAATGTAACATCCCCCAGTGAAAAGCAGGGGTGTCACTAGCACGTTAAGAGAAAACACAATAAGTGTCAGGGGCCCAAGACTGTTCAACTGCCTCCCAGCATACATAAGGGGGATTACCAACAGACCCCTGGCTGTCTTCAAGCAGGCACTGGACAAGCACCTAAAGTCGGTACCTGACCAGCCGGGCTGTGGCTCATACGTTGGATTGCGTGCAGCCAGCAGTAACAGCCTGGATGATCAGGCTCTGATCTACCATGAGTCCTGGTCACAGACCGGGCCGTGGGGGCATTGACCCCCATAACTCTCCAGGTAAACTCCAGGTAAGCATATTGACTCCAATAAGGATATATCTTTCAGTAACACGATCGCTATTGCTTGAAATATTAAGTTCTTTCCGCATATTTAAAATTTTGACAGTACGAGAGCATCCCAGGATGATCCTCATTGCTTCGTTTTGCAGTTTTTCCAGCCCTTCAAGCTTCCAGTCAGACACGAGAGCAAGTAGTGGCGCAGCATAATCAACCAATGATCTAATATAAGCGAGATACATCATTTTCACAATTTTAACATTAGACCATACCTGGGATGAAAACCTGCCACAACTCTAAGTGCTCTCAGGCTTTCTTTGTATTAGCGACAAAGTCTCGTTACAACAGGTCCAAGCAGTGGAGCCTCAAGGGGGAATCGAAGGGTAATTTTTTTTTTTTTAATTTTCGTTCGATTTCTTTCATTTTTTTTGTACGTAAAGAAGCACCTTTCAATAGTAATGTGACCAAGTTTCAATAAGATAGCTCAAAAAACAACTGAGAAAAAAATTATTTACTAATAATCATACATATTGCAAGGTACCGTCGAAGTGGGACTTGGAGAAGTTGTTTTGGCTTTATCTACGCATAAAAAAAATGCAAAACTGTATTTCTATTGGATTGCCTTTCTGTAATTTATCCTTTTTCATTTTTAAAAAAAAAAAATAAATTTTGTATGTTTTTTGATTTTCACCCAAATATTGATTTTTTTCCCCCTCAAAAAAAATCAAAAAAAATTATGTATCTAAAAAAGCGATCAGGGGCTTTTTTAAAACAATCTTTCCTTTAGTTCTCTGTGATTTTCATTACTTTCCTGCTATTATTAACGAAGTTACTTGCTTATATGTGAATAACTTACTTCCGGGAAAATCCGCAAAAAGCCGGGACCCCTTTTTTTTTTTTTTTTTTCGAGAAAAAACATTTTTCTCAGTCTATACTGCATTACAGTGTATTCATATTAAACCCATTTCGTTTTCTTAATATAACCCTGGAGGTGAAAAAAAGAGAATAACCCCCTCTCTGGAATGGGAATCTATTTTTTCCCGAGGGGCGTTTGGGAATATTCCATATATTATTCTTCGGAGTATTTACCATACTTCTTTTTATTTTATATTTTTTTATGTCTATTAGTAATTTGTGATAGTAAAAACCCTTTTAAAGCTTAAAGCTTTATTTTGAGCCTTTTTCCCCGGCCACCCCCGAACGGGTTTTTTTCCATGACGCAGAAAAATGGTGTGGGGGTTCCGGGTTTGGTTGGAACTCTCGAAAAAGTCCACCCCTGATTATGATCCCAAAATCGTAAATTTATTATTTTAGAAAGAATAATACAGAAATACACAAAAAAAAAACGGAAAAAAAAAAAAAAAAAATTGACGCAGGTGAGCCACCTGCCGGGGGTGGGCGTCCCCCTAGGTGTTTTAAATGACCAAAATTTCCTTGTGGAAAGTCGCGCAAGATTCTGGTACCATTGTTTCCCCAAGGGAGTTAAGCTTTTTTTTCTATAGTTTAAACTATTTGTGAATTTTTTTGGGGAAAAAAATTTTTTGTTCGCGCAGCATGTCAAACCCCCTCAAACCCTTTAGAACCCTGTATCTGCTTACATCCTAGAAGGCCCCATATGCAATTGGATCGACAAACTGTGCCTTCTGTCGGGGAGGACCCCTATTGAGTTTTTGTTTTATCTAAAAGGCCCCAAGGGAAAATAATCACTCTGTCTGACTTTTTTGGGTTATCCTAGTTTTTACCATTGTGCTATTGATAATTCTATGTAACTGTATTTTTTTTATACCAAATAAACTTCTTACTTATTACTTATTCTTATAGAGATTATCAACCCAGGCCCTGACACGGGCTGTACGGGGTTAAAGGGTTTTTGGGTTTTGGGAATCCGGGGTGGGTGAATCATTTTCTCACAAAAACTAATCATATAATGATGGGGTTGGCTAGGATAGCTTAAGAAAGGGTTTTAAGGAGAATTTGAATATTTGGGACGAGCACACCCCCAGGGGGTTCCCTAATTTCAAATCTTTAGTTAATTCTATGTCCTGGAAAAACAGAGATTTTTCTGTTGGACAGGAAACCCTTTAACCCAGCAGAAAGCCATCCCCCAAATATCCTTCTGCAAGTTCACTAATGATTAATGTCGGTTGGCTACATAAAAAGGGATTTAAGGTCAAGGAAGGTAGTGTATGAGCTGCAGTGGCAAGTGAGAAAGGGGTAATGCAATGATGCCAACCTTAGCATGAAGCCCTGCAACCGGGGGGACAAAAAAATTTCTTATTTGTGCAAAGCAATTAAAAATCATCCCTTTTGAAAGTTTTACACAAAAAGCTGTAAGGGATATTGGGCGAAAAGAGTTTTGTTGATTAGGTTCGGAATGGGAAAAAAGAGGCTGTTTGGGCCATGTTTTTGGGAGTCCCCAGTGACATAGCTCATGTTATTTAATTCAAGTAAAAGAATTACCTGGTACTGACAAACAAACTGGTATGTTTTAAATAATACCATCCTCACAGGTGACGTGGAGTTGCCCCTTTGTTGTGTGGGATCAAAAATTCAAAGTTAGTGAAAGGAAAGTTACAGCATCTTCCTTGCTGAGCATAAAACAAATCATCTCCCTTGCATCACTTTGTCCATTAATTTCGTCTGTGTGGGATGGGGGGAAGATTGTCATAGCTAGATGTAAGACCAAACATTGACTAACTCATTCGCCCCCCTTTCAAGGGGTGAGGGTGCGCGACGTCCGTTCTTTACCCTTAATTTTATTTATGTCCCTCCTGTCCCCGGGTTGTGGGGTGGGCATTGAACCTTGACAAATTTTTTCCCAGTCTGTTTGCCCCAGTTCTGTCATACCCTTGGCACAGCAAGGGCAGTTAGAAGAGGGGCAGATTTCGGGGTACGATGGTTTTAAGGTTTGGCCTAGCTGCGGCAGTGCGTTTTAAGTTCGAAGTTAGGATCATTGTAATAGGTATTTTTTTTTATAAGACTTATGTTTTTTGGAAGTTAGATGGGGTTTTTCATTTTCCCTAGGGTTTTAGAGGCGGGTCTAAGCAGTTTTGAATACTGCTCACAAGGGCTTGTTAAAAATCTCGACAGAGTACACTATAGGGAATTTTACCCGTCTACAGTGCAACAAAGTCATCATGCTGACAGGGGAAACATTAAAACGTTTCCCTTTGAATTCCTCCCGGGGGGTGTATTACCCAAAACTAGAGATATGGGAAATAGGAAATGATTGATATATTGTTACAATGGAAACTCGCAGGGGAGAAGAAATTTTAAGCCCAGACTAGATCAAGGACGCCTCCCAAATATTGTGGGTTCAAGGCCCACAAAGCACCAGTAAACTTCAAACTTTGCAGTAGCCACTGTATTAAGCCCACAAAGCAATTCATTAGGCCTGAAAATTTTAAAAACGTGTGACCACAGAAAAGTTTTCACGATAATCAAAAAAAAGAGAGAGGAGCTTACGACGAATTTTGGTCCGACTTTGGGCATTTCAAGTCGACACCAAAAGGGTGAGACTAAGCTTTTGCAGGGTCCCCTAAAAACCCCGCAGGTAAGCGTCTTAATTTCAAACCCTTCGGTGTCGACTTTGTAAAAGGTCCAAGTCGGGCCGAAATTTTCGTCGTAAGTCCCCCTCTCCTATGTGGGGTTATTTGGTGTTGTTCCCGTTATGGGATCGTGCCTTTTTGTTCTCCACAAAGTGAGTGCGCGTGGAAAAACAGAGGTACCAACTTTGGAAGGTTTCGAGAGAAAAAGTGTGGTGTGGGGTCCATGTGCCCCCTGGGTAACCAGCCCATTTTACCTTCCTCCCTCAACCCAAGGGCCCAAAGATTGGGGCCATGGTCAGCCCTCAGCTACACTAAGGTGGTGAGTAGTCCATATTTTTTTATAACGCAACAGAGATCATTTTGAGAAGCCGCTAAGGCCCGCCCGTAGTGGATGACCGACAGATCCCAGTGGCAATATAAACACAAATGCAGTATAATGTGATCCTTTATTGACTACGTTTCGCCCACACAGTGGGCTTTTTCAAGTCACAAACAGAACTACCTGGGGTGGAAGGAACGCGAGTATTTATAGTCCGGCTGAGGTCAGGTGAAGAATGCTGCATCTGATGATGTACCGAGTTGGGTTGTAGAGTCTAAAAACTTGGGTAGCTTGGAAAGGAGACTGGACAAGTTTGTGAGCAGACCTTCTACAGTGTTCTTATGTGGGATAGCGATGAAGAAGTTTCTTGGCAAGTGGTCAGCTATGTTATAGAAGCCACTATTCTGGTTGAAGTTATCGGATACAGAAATAAGTGATGATTCCAGGATTCTTCGGTATTGGGTGTTGTCTTCTGTGGCGATAAGTCTTGAGTTTCTGTAGTTTATCAAGTGGTTGTGTGAATTACGGTGTTGTACGCATGCATTCCTTGTGTCGTCAGACCTGCTTGCGTATTGGTGTTCTGAAATACGTGTTTGGAGGTCCCTTGATGTTTCGCCTTGAAAAAGCCCACTGTGTGGGCGAAACGTAGTCAATAAAGGATCACATTATACTGCATTTGTGTTTATATTGCCATTGTGTCGGTATTTTATACCATTTATTTCCAGATCCCAGTGACGGAATATTTTATATATCTGTCGGTTTGAGGTCGCCTATGATACTGATTCTGTTTCACAGTCGTGACATTCCAGTCACACCATAATGCACCTTTCCAGAATTACACACTGACATCATTCCACAAACACTAGTATCACTGTTGTACACATGGGGAAGTGCTAAATAAATCCTTAGTCGTACAGTGCCAGGCGAATGAAAGGCAATCAGAATTGATCCAGGGAAGAGGATCAAGGATCCTCCCCCCTGGTTGAAGGCCAGTGACTTCAAAAGTCATCCGGATAGAGACCCCATCCACTTCTTCCATTATTATTATAATCCTGGGGGGAGCGCTAAACCCGTATTGATTATACAGCGCCTGCAGGGGAGGGATTGAAGGTATTCAGGCTTACCTCAGGGAACTGGAGCACAGATCCAATTCCCTAGATCAAGAGCCCCTCACCAGCGTCCAGGAACCTCCCTTGAGGGGTCCATCTCTTTCAGATGGTGTCTGTGTTGATGCTGGTGACGGTGGGTGTGGAGGTGGTGTGGTCGTGGGTTGAGAGACGCCTGGTCCTGGTCCCTGCAGACTACCTGGCCTCTGTCGCCCTCCTTCTTACACAGGTTAGTTGCTTTATTAAGTTTAAAGCCTATCGGCTATACGAAGATTTTTAAAGTTGCATGTCACCCGAACCTCACCAGTCATTGATGCTAAATTTAATATCTAACAGGAATTAAAGTAAACTCTAAGTGTAGATTTACTAAAAAATACATCCCTCTTAAGTGTTTATATATATACACACTGCTACTGTCGGTGCATATACATCACGATATACAATACTACTCAGATTTTATATACAAAGTGACAAAGGTAAACTATAATTGCTATAGATATTAATCTTATGCAGAAACAGTCAAATTAGCCGAACTTCTTGAATAAAAAATAATTTCGAAAATTTAATCTTATTCATTGATAGATTTTTATAAAATAACGTTTTAGGCCTTGATAAATTCACTTTAATCCTGCCAAGCCTATCTTAGGTCAGCCTAAATTATTATTTAATGTCAGTAAATATATTATTTTTGTAATGTTTAAACTAGTTTTTATAGTTTAACAACACTGAATTTTCATTAAGTTTGCTGCCGCATTAGCCTAGTCGGCAAGTACGTACGTACGTACGTACATACACACACACACACACACACACACACACACACACACACACACACACACACACACACACACCACACACACACACACACACACCACACACACACAACACACACACACACCACACACACACACACACACACACACAACACACACACACACACACACAAAAGTTTGCAACAAGACTAGTCCCAGAGCTAAGAGGTATGTCCTACGAGGAGAGGTTAAGGGAAATCAACCTGACGACACTGGAGGACAGGAGAGATAGGGGGTACATGATAACGACTTTCAAAACACTGAGAAGAATTGACAAGGTGGACAAAGACAGGATGTTCAGAGATTGGACACAGTAACAAGGGGAACCACAGTTGGAAGCTGAGACTAGATGAATCACAGGGATGTTAGGACAGCTATTTCTTCCAGACACAGAATAGTCCAGGGAAGTGGAATAGTTTGGGAAAGCATGTAGTGGAGGCAGGATCCATACATAGCTTTAAGCAGGACGTTACGATAAAGCTCATGGTTCAGGGGAGTGAGCTAGTTGCGACCAGTGAAGAGGCGGGGCCCAGGTGCTTGGACTCGACCCTTGCAACCTCAAACTAGGTGAGTACACAAAACACCACACCACACACCACACAAACACAATATCAGGAAAATAAAGAGATTAGCCGAAGAGCCAGAAACAAACTATGCACAGATAAGAAGGGAGGCTCAGCGGCATTACGAAAATGACATAGCATCGAAAGTCAAGAACTGTCCGAAGCTTGTTGTACAAGCAATAGGAGGGAAAACAAACAACGGTCCAAGGACCAGGAATCAGAATGAGGAAGGGGTGGATGCGGGAATTCACAAGAAACGACGGGAGGTATGTCAGGAGCTCAACAACGAGATTTAAAGAAGTTATTTACAGTGGAAAACCAGTAGGACTCACAGGAAATCAGAACAGGGGGGTGCACCAGAGGTGCTGGATGAGGTACTTATAACCAAGGAGGAGGTGTGAGAAGCTGCATATGCAGAACTTGACAACCTCTAAGGCAGTGGGAACAGACAACATCTCTCCGTGGTAATCCTTAAAGAGGGAAGCAGAGATATTGTGTGTACCATTAACAAAAGATCTTCAACACATCATTTGAATCTGGGCAACTCCCCGAGGTATGGAAGATGGCAAATGAGTCCCAATTTTTTTTTAAAAAGGGAGACGGACATGACGGCCACTAAACTACAGAACCTGTTTCCCTACGTGTATAGTATGCAAGGTCATGGAGAAGATCATCAGGAGGAGAGTGGTGGAGACCTGGAAAAGAAACAAGTGTATAATGGACAACCAGCATGCGTTTCAGAGAGGGAAAATTCCTGTGTCACCAAACCTACTAGAGTTTTAGACAAAGGGTGACAGAAGTAAGACTGCAAGAGGCCTTCGACACAGTTCCTCACAAGAGGTTACTTTGCAGAAGCAGAGGATCAGGCACAACATAACAGGAAAGGCATGCAATGGATCAGAGAATACTGACAGGGAGGGCAACAACGAGTCAGGTACGTGACGATGTTCAGAGTGGGCGCCTGTGAAAGCGGAGGTTCCACAGGGGTCAGTCTAGGACCTGTGCCTGTCCCTTGGTATATGCATGAATGACATAACGAAGGGATAGACTCAGAAGTGGCCTTGTTTGCGGTGATGATGTGGAGTTAATGAGAAGAATCAATCCGGATGAGGGAACAGGAGGACTACAAAGAGACTGGACTGGCTACAAGCTGGTCCAGCAACTGGTCCTTGAGTTTTTTTAACTGGCCCAAAATGCAAAGTCATGAAGATTGGCGGAAGGGCAAAGAAGACCGCCAGACACAATATAGTTTTTTAAAAAGGATGGCAAAGCTGCAAACCTCATCAAGGAAAAAAAGATTCTGGGGGTGAGTTAACACCGAGCATATACTCTGAGGCGCACATAATCAGATAACTGCTGCAGCATTGACGGGCGCCTGGCTAACCTACGGATAGCGTTTCCGATAACCTCAGTAAGGATCATTCAAGGTCTGGTATACCATTTACGTTCAGGCCCATACTGGAGTATGCAGCCCGTTATGGAATCCACATGGAGTTACCTCGTCAAGCACGTCAGAAATTAGAGAAAAGTGCAAAGTTTGCAACATGACTGTCCAGAGCTACGGGGATTGTTTCCATACGAAAGAAAGGTTGAAGGGAAATTCGGCCCCCCCTTGACCTGACGACACTGGAGGACAGGAGGGTCAGGGGAGACATGATAACGACATAGAAATTACTGCGCAGAATAGACGAGGTGGACAAAGACGGGATGTTCCAGAGATGGGACACAGACACAAGAGGTCACAATTGGAAGTTGAAGACTCAGATGAATCAAAGTATTTCTTCAGTCATAGAGTAGTCAAGCCGTGGAATAGCCTAGAAAGTGAAGTAGTGGAGGCGGGAACCATACATAGTTTTAAGGCGAGGTATGATAAAACTCATGGAGCAGAGAGAGAGAGGACCTAGTAGCAATCAGTGAAGAGGCGGGGCCAGGAGCTATGACTCGACCCCTGCAACCACAAATAGGTGAGTACAAATAGGTGAGTACACACACACACACACACACACACATTACCTTTAAGTGACATCATTTTTTTGTCCTGGAAAATAATTTCATAAACCTGTTAATAAATTTTGTGACTGAAGGGTCTTCAAGTGACACTTGTGGTAGTGGGAAGGAAACATGGCGAGCGAAACAGCGTTGTACTATTTTTGTTCTGGTTGTTGATGGTAATGTGTGGACTACCACGGCTCTACACTACTATCACCTACACTGTGAATGGGGTAAGTTATCACTCTCAGATATGTCATTATAATCTGTACCAGCGTAAGTTATCTTAATCTCCCATTATCATTATCATCATTCCTCCCCTTTCCCCATCTCGACGGGTTTAGAAGTTCCCCATAAACATAAGAATAAGAATAAAAATTCAATTTGATGCAGTACCCCCTTCTTTATTGTGGAATAGACGAGTTCTCCATGGGGAAGTGGAGAAGAATCCTTCCTCTGTAAATCATGTGTGTCGTGGGGAGTGGAGAAGAATCTTCCTCTAAGTCATGTGTGTGTGGAAGAAGATTCCTTCCTTCTGTAAAGTCATGTGTGTCGTAGCGGTGTGGAGAGAAGATCCTTCCTCTGTAATCATGTGTGTTGTGGGGTAAAGTGGAAGAAGAATCCATCCTCTGGTAAGTCATGTGTGTCGTGGGGAGTGGAGAAGAATCCTTCCTCTGAAATAAAAGTCATGTGTGTCGTGGAACGAAGAATCCTTCTCTGTAAGTCATGTCGTGTCGTGGGGGTTGTGGAGAAGAATCCTTCCTAAGTAAGTCATGTGTGTCGTGGGGGAAGTGGGAAGAATCCTTTTCTCTGTAAAGTCATGTGTTTGTCGTGGGGAGTGGAGAAGAATCCTTTCTCTGTAGTAATGTGTGTCGTGGGGGAAGTGGAGAAGAATCCTTTTTCTGTAAGTCATGTGTGTCATGCGGAAGTGGAGGAAGAAATCCTTCCTCTGTACAGGTCATTGTGTGTCGTGGGGAATTGTGGAGAGAAGAAATCCTTTCTCTGTAAGTCATGTGTGTTGTGGGAGTGGGAGATGGAATCTTTCTCTTAACATGTGTGTCGTGGGGAAGTGTGAGAAGAATCTTTCTCTGTAAGCATGTGGTCATGGGGGTGGAGAAGGAATCTTTTCTCTGTAAGTCGTGTGTGTCGTGGGGAATGGAAAAGTGGAGAAAGATCCTTCCTCTGTAAGTCATGTGTGTCGTGGGGAAGTGGAGAGAAGAATCCTTCCTCTGTAAGTAATGTGTGGTCGTGGGGGAGTGGAGATGAATACCTTCCTCTGTAAGTCATGTGTGTCGTGGTGGGGAGTAGTGGAGAAGAATCTTCCTCTGTAAGCCATGGTGGTTCATGGGGGAGTGGGAGAAGAATCCTTCCTCTGTAAGTCATTGGTTGTTGTAAATGTCGTGAAAATTTGTCGTGGGATGCCCTCCAAGTGAGTCGCCTACTTGGGCAAACTCTGTTGACCCGATCTCTGAGGTGGGTACCTCAGCCTCACAAGTGGCTTATAGGACAGATTTTCACAAAATGATTGGATGTTGCAAGAAACTCGCCTGCATGCACGTATAAAGGACTAAACTTACTTGGTGTCGTTGTTGCTAGCATATATTCTGATCTTCAACTTCCCTAAGCTTAGCTTTAGCCCTTTGGAATTCCCTCGAAAACCACGTGCAACCGGGAGCCTGAATCTGCAATTATTCAATCGTATTTAGTGGACTGCCTGCCACCTCTGAAATCCGTATATCCAAGGGGTGTGTTCCCCTAGTATAACTATGCAGACACGGACACTTAGCTTCACCAGACTGACAAAAAGAGACACCCTGGTACTTACTGGGCATGCATGCCTGCTGCACAAAAGGGCCTAAGATCAACTCATCACAATTCTTCCCAGGTCACTGGCCAAGATATCTACGAGATTAAGTGGAAGGTCTTTGTCTTACTGTTACAGGCTGATGGAGGTCATCTACGGTACATCGAGGTGCCTCTACAGTTTCCTCACGTCTCGAATGTGTGAGGGGACCACGTGGGGGGCAGCCGTCTGCTGATCACCGGGCACGTCGTGTCCGTTGGTTGTCTCGTCTTAAGAGGATGCTATTGTGTCTATGAGACCCGCGCCCCTCGTCATTCAAGCTGGGCTGCCATTTCCCTCTAGCTAACTTACCTAGTGTTTGCCTACATTATGGGCCTTTTTACTACCTATGTAAGGTCGTAGGTCTACTTATTATTATCTACAGTTGCCTCAATGATCCTAATATTAGAGTACTACCAGTAAAACTACCTATCCTTCCTGAAGGGTGGTTAAATCTTTAAATTTAAATAAGCTTACCAAACCCACGCCAAACTCGGGGAAAAAATGCTTTTTGTTTGGGTGGTGGGTTTTTTTTAAGGGGCACGCCCAGCTCAGCCGTTCCAATTACAGACTTGCTGGGATCCCTTGGTTTCGCAGTGTCTGTGACCTGTGGAACTTTAGGAATACCAAATAATTTTCTCACATGAAAAGGCGGACTAAAAATGGGGAGCAGGCACTTTGGCTTTGTAACCTCTTCTCTATAAATTACTAACTTTTAAAAAGAAGATAGAAACTTTAGTTTCTTCTTTTTCGGGAGTACACTGTAAGCGAAAATAGCAAGAATCAAACTTAAGTAAAGGAATCTTATGAAGGATGTCTCAGGAATCACGGGAATGAAACGAAAAAGCCGTAAATGAATTCGAAGAAACCCCATTGTATGTTCTTATCCTATTGTGCCAAAATCAAGTCGCGAGTCAACAGCAGTCCAGTATTGGGTCACTACTTAAACAAGGTATGAGGTCCTACACAGGATCGACACGCAAGGAAATGTCCTTCGGATTGTGATGCTAATCAAGTCCCAATATGACCTCAGTTGCTAGAAGCCGCTAACCGTAAGGACTGAGAAGTCGAAGTATTCAAACATGAATTTTTGTATGGGAGTAGCCACCTAAATTTGGTTAACTCAGCCCTATCAATGTTATCCTGACGCCAAATGACTTCGAACAGGCGCATAAATTGACATGCCCATGCACTCTGCCCCAGGCAGACTCATGGAACTCCGTGTCATCAAAAACTGCAAGAGCCCCGATTACGAGCCTTTTTTCCTTCCTATGGATAGGGAGCATGGACACGGGGGTCGTCCCACAGTTAACTATAAAAACAAACAGACATAGCATCCACTCCACAAAGGGGGCAGTAGCAAACAGCAAAGAACTACAGACCGATAGCACTAACATCCTATATAATAAAAATCTTTGAAAGGGTCTTAAGAAGCAAGATCACCACCCATCAAGGGAAACCCATCAGGTTACAAATAACCAGGGGATAACGCGTGGGCTTTAGAACGCAGGTCGCTTCCTGTCTGTCGTCAACTATTGGATCACTACGACAAGGCTCTAAATGCACATAGGAGATAAAAGGAAAGCAGATGTAATATATACAGATCCCCTTGCAAAAGCTCCTTCGAACGCAAGTTGTGTACCATGTGCGTAATAGCACACAATAATGCGTGCTACAAAAGAATAATCAGGAAAGTAGTCGTTGCGACTCTCTCTTATTAATTTCCTCACTAACAGAACGGAGAAGTAGTCGTCAACAGGGATCGAAGTAAAGTGCACGAGGCAGCTACGCGGTGAAAAGTCTGTTCCACAAGGCACAGTGTACTCGCTCCATCTTGTTTGACATCCTGTATATCCGCACATAGACAAGGATTGTCAGCCACAGCACCGTGTCTTCCTTTGTCCAGATGTACACCCGAATCTGCATGGACAGGTTTCCATTGCCTCGCCCAACTGCGTGAGGCTCCAGGTGGACATTCAACACCCACGAATCTTTCAGTGGGCTGCATGAAACAAATGAATAGTTCTATGTGAGAAATTTCAATACTCAGATATGGTAACACAAGGAAGTTAATCTTTATCTGAGTACCTAAAACAAAATTCTGGCGGACCATAAAAATAGAGCAATGACACCAACGTTCAGAGGATCTAACCTTCAGGACATAGACATTGTAATCAATCGCATCTGCTAGAAAAATAACTGCGGATAGTGAGAACCGCTTTGTCAAAATACTAGGGAGGCCAGCCCTATGATGACACTCTTCAGGTCACTTGTCTATCTAGGCTGGGATATATTGCTGCACACTAACGAGCACCTTTCAAGGGCAGGTTGAAATTGCCTGACCTAGGAAAATGTACAGAGACCTTCACGTGCGCGCCATGAATCGGAGATAAAATACACTTCAATTACTGGGATGCGCATGAGTTCCTAAACCTGGTATTCCCTGGAATGAAGGTGGGGTGAGTGAATGATGTAGTATTCACTGGAAAAATCCTAGAGGGAGCTAGTACCGAACTTGCAACACGAAAATTGCATTCGACTATGAAACGCAAAAGCACTTGGCTGACTGATCCTTGGCAAGACATCCCTCAACGAAAAGCAGGGGGTGGTCACTAGGCACGTTAAGAGACCATACAATAAGGTCGGGGCCCTGAGACTGGTTCAACTGCCTGTCCACCGATACAGATAGGGGGGATTTACTCAAAACAGGACCCCTGGCTCAGTCTTTCAAGGTAATGGCACTGGACAAGCACTTTTAAAGTCAGGATGTTGTGGGGGAAAAGTTCAATACGATTAGGAGTAGCGAAGGAGTATTATAGTAACAACTTCCTCATTGCCGGCTACTTGTCTAAAGGGTAGAGCACGTTAAAAGTCAAGCTTCCGCTATTCCCGCCGATTTTTTGCCCCTCCCGTAAAAGTTGTGATTACGTTCATTGCCGGCTTACTTGTTAAGGTAGGGTAAGTCAAGCAGCTCCCGCTATATTTCCATCGCCTTTTTCCCCCACTTGAAAGGTGATAGTTTGCCTGCCGGGCTTGCTTGTTAATGGGTAGGGTCAGTCAGCTCCCGATATCCCTTCCCCTCCTCCTCCCCCCATACACACCCGTAGGTGAGTGGGTGGGGGCTCTGGTTGACCCAAACACTACATCCACTAGACTCACAGCTACCTGCACTACTGTAAGTACATGCCTGCCTTGAATTTAGTGGTAATTTGTATGCGGTTGAAAGCTTCACTTCAGTGCTCCAATTGTATAAACTTAGTCCTTTTCAGCTGCTACTCCTATCCGGACTGTTTGTTAATATATCAGCCACCATCTTTTAGGTATTGTACATATCATGGATGAGTGAATAATGTTTTAAGCATGTGGCGTAACCTGTTTATCTCTTTTTGT